ATGTGCTCTGGTCAGAGACCACATTGTGCATGCACCTATTTCAGCACTGCATTGTACCTGTGCACTAAATTCCTATCTTGCAGATAGGTTCTTGATCAGTAAGATGATCAAGGGTGACAGGGAGAAGGTAGGAGAATGAGGTTGAGAAACATATCAGCCAAGATCAAATGGTGAAGCACTCAATGGGCTGAGTGGCCTTATTATGCTCCTGTATCTTATGGTTTTATTAGAACAAAGAACATAGAACAGTACAGCACAGTGTAGGCTCTTCAGCTCACGATGATGTGCCAACCTATTATCCTACTCTAAGATAAAACTACCCTGCATACCCTTCATTTTACTGTAATAAAATTAGATTCTTGATTACACCAGTTACAGCTTTTGTACATTTCTCTGCCTTACAAATTAACATCAGCATTTTCAATATGCATCATGCTCCTTGTGCCACTTTGAAATGGTGACTGTGCAATTCACAGCCTTTGTGTGGAGTCTGTGGTAGCCATTAAATACACTACACTTGAAACAAATATTAGGGGTGTGGTGTTAGGCTGTGATGGGTCACATGATGATACCTGTTAGACCAAAGGCAACTGAACGCTGATGTGATGATGCAACTTGGCTGCAAACCCTTGCTGTGTATATCAGATGTGGAATGGATATTGTAATTTTACATAAAATTTCACACAGATAGGGCCTTGAACCCAACTCATTTGTATTGTTGTTTAAGCTCCACACAAACCTGCCCTCACCTTACATCACCTTATCCAGATATCCTTCTGTTCCTGTTTCCCTCATCTAGTTTTTCCTGGGAGGTGCCTAAAGTATTCACCTCAACTATTCCATGAGGCAGTAAATGGTATGGTTACTAAACAGAAAGTTGAAAATGTATTAATTTATGTGTCAAAAATCAAATACTTCTTTTCACAAGATTAAGAAAGAAAGGAATCATGAATTATTGAAAACCTGTTTACTGAAATTCACTCCACCCACAGGCCATGTCTGACTCACTCCATCAGCAACTGTACTCAACACAAATTTCTCTTTGTTCCCCAAAGTACAAGAGAGAAACTTTCATGACTTTAGAATATCCCAAAGTCATTCATAGTTTATGTACTTCTGAAGTGTAGGTACTATTGTAATTCAAGCATGATGTTTGAAGTTTTGTTTAATGTCCACCATATACCACCTACAAACTAGAGCTCATCTAAAATTTTGCTTGTATCTTAGCTCACAACAAGCCCCATTCTCCTAACACGATGTGTCCACTGACCCACATTGGCTCCCAGCCTGACAACAAATTTATTTCAAAATTTTCACTCTTGCTCACAAAATCTGCCTCGGTCTCTCTATAGTGCCCTCCAGTTGCACAGCCCTCTGAGATCTCTGCCCTTCTCCAATTCTCGTCTCTTTTTTTGCCCAGATTTTAATCTCTTTCCTTTACTGTCTACGTCTTCTGGTGCCTGAAATCTAAAGTCAGGAACTCCCTAAACTTCAGCCTCTCTTTCCCATTTTTAAACTGTCCCCTAAGATTTTGATAACATAGTGTGAGCTGGAGGAACACAGCAGGCCAGGCAGCATCAGAGGAGCAGGAAAGCTTTCTGAAGAAGGATCCCGACCCGAAACATCAGCTTTCCTGCTCCTCCGATGCTGCCTGGCCTGCTGTATTCCTCCAGCTCCACACTGTGTTATCTCTAACTCCAGCATCGGTAGTTCTTACCAGCTCCTTAAGATTTTGATTTGGTTTGGCATATTACTGTCCTGTGTACCAAAATACAGTGAAAAGGGTTGTCTTACATGCTTAACAGGCACGTTGAACGATACAGGGCATTGGGATAACAGAAGAGTGCAGCATACAGTGTTACAGTTGCTGATTTGCTTCTTTGACAAAATTTTTGATCACCTGTCTAACATCTCACATGACTGGTACCTTTATCTTATTATTGTCCTGTGGAGCACTTTGGGAAACATCCTCTCAGGATGGCCACAATCCTCCTAACAATGATATTTATAGCACTCAACATTAAAGGGAATGCATGAGGTTTAAATGACTTTTTGCTTTGAGCTGACATTGTTAAAGTCTCAGTCACGGACAGAAGGAATATGTGAGTTAACAAGGTGTAGAGCTGGATGAATACAGCAGGCCAAGCAGCATCATAGGAGCAGGAAGGCTGACGTTTCGGGCCTAGACCCTTCATCAGAAATGGGGGAGGGGAAGGGGGTTCTGAAATAAATAGGGAGAGAGGGGGAGGCGGATAGAAGATGGATAGAAGAGAAGATAGGTGGAGAGGAAACAGACAGGTCGAAGAGGCAGGGATGGAGCCAGTAAAGGTGAGTGTAGGTGGGGAGTTAGGGAGGAGATAGGTCAGTCCAGGGAGGACGGACAGGTCAAGGGGGCGGGATGAGGTTAGTAGGTAGGAGATGGGGGTGCAGCTTGAGGTGGGAGGAGGGGATAGGTGGGAGGAAGAACAGGTTAGGGAGGCGGGGATGAGCTGGACTGGTTTTGGGATGCAGTAGGGGGAGGGGAGATTTTGAAGCTTGTGAAATCCACATTGATACCATTGGGCTGCAGGGTTCCCAAGCGGAATATGAGTTGCTATTCCTGCAACCTTCGGGTGGCATCGTTGTGGCACTGCAGGAGGCTCAGGATGGACATGTCGTCTGAGGAATGGGAGGGGGAGTTCAAATGGTTCGCGACTGGGAGGTGCTGTTGTTTATTGCGAACCGAACGTAGGTGTTCTGCAAAGTGGTCCCCAAGCCTCCGCTTGGTTTCCCTGATGTAGAGGAGGCCACAATGGGTACAGCGGATGCAGTATACCACATTAGCAGATGTGCAGGTGAACATCTGCTTGATGTGGAAAGTCTTCTTGGGGCCTGGGATGGGGGTGAGGGAGGAGGTGTGGGGGCAGGTGTAGCACTTCCTACGGTTGCAGGGAAAAGTGCTGGGTGTGGTGGGGCTGGAGGGGAGTGTGGAGCGGACAAGGGAGTCATGGAGAGAGTGGTCCCTTCGGAAAGCAGATAAGGTTGGGGAAGGAAAAATGTCTTTGGTGGTGGGGTCGGATTGCAGATGGCGGAAGTGTCAGAGGATGATGCGTTGGATCCAGAGGTTGGTGGGGTGGTACGTGAGGACGAGGGGGATTCTTTTTTGGTTGTTATTGCCGGGATGGGGTGTGAGGGATGAGTTGCAGGAAATGCGGGAGACACGGTGGAGGGCATTCTCGACCACTGAGGGGGGGAAGTTGCGGTCCTTGAAAAACGAGGACATCTGAGATGTATGGGAGTGGAATGCCTCATCCTGGGAGCAGATGTGGCAGAGGCGAAGGAATTGGGAATAGGGGATGGCATTTTTGCAGGAAGGTGGGTGGGAGGAGGTGTATTCTAGGTAGCTGTGGGAGTCGGTGGGCTTGAAATGGATATCGGTTTCTAGGTGGTTGCCCGAGATGGAGACAGAGAGGTCCAGGAAGGTGAGAGAGGTATTAGAGATGGTCCAGGTGAACTTAAGGTCGGGGTGGAAGGTGTTGGTGAAGTGGATGAACTGCTCGAGCTCCTCGTGGGAGCTTGAGGCGGCGCCGATACAGTCATCAATGTAACAGAGGAAGAGGTGGGGTTTAGGGCCAGTGTAGGTACGGAAGAGGGAGTGTTCCACGTAACCTACAAAGAGGCAGGCATAGCTTGGGCCCATGCGGGTACCCATGGCCACCCCCTTTGTCTGTAGGAAGTGGGAGGAATTGAAAGAGAAGGTGTTGAGGGTGAGGACGAGTTCGGCTAAGCGGATGAGGATGTCAGTGAAGGGGGAATGGTCGGGCCTGCGGGACAGGAAGAAGCGGAGGGCCTTTAGGCCATCTGTATGGGGAATGCAGGTATATAGGGACTGGATGTCCATGGTAAAGATGAGGTGTTGGGGACTGGGGAATTGGAAGTTCTGGAGGAGGTGGAGGGCGTGGGTGGTGTCACGGACGTAGGTAGGGAGTTCCTGGACCAAGGGGGAGAAAATGGAGTCCAGACAGTTGGAGATAAGTTCGGTGGGGCAGGAGCAGGCGGAGACAATGGGTCGACCAGGGCATTCAGGTTTGTGGATTTTGGGAAGGAGATAGAAGCAGGCGATACGGGGTTGGGGAACGATGAGGTTGGAGGCCATGGGTGGGAGTCACCTGAGGTGATGAGGTTGTGGATGGTTTGGGAGATGATGGTTTGGTGCTCGGGGGTGGGGTCATGATCAAGGGTGCGGTAGGAGGAGGTGTCGGAGAGTTGGCATCTGGCCTCGGCGATATAGAGGTCAGTGCGCCATATTACAACTGCGCCTCCCTTGTCCGCGGGTTTTATGGTGAGGTTGGGATTGGAGCGGAGGGCTGCACGTTCTGCGGGGGAGAGGTTGGAGTGAGTTGCTGTTTATGCACGAGTATGCCTTAAAAGATGTGAACATACTCACGTGAAGGAATGACTTGCACATAGATAAGATAGATTTGTAATCAGCAAGGGAATCAAGGGTTACAGGAAAAAGCAGGACAGTGAGATTTAGGGCTATTTGATCAACCATGATCTCATTGAATGGAGGATCAATTTCGACGGGCCGAATGGCCTACTTCTACATCTTATGATCAGTTGTGTAGCACCTTATCAATACTTCAGAAACATTCAAATGATGTGACATAGAATAAATTTCTTTGAAGTGGTTCTGCTTGTTTTGTCGGCAAACATGGTACAAAATTATAGGTGGAAAGAATGACCTTCATTTTTGGTTCACAGAAGGATGCCTATTCAGAACTTCTTGCTTTTGAATAATACAAATAAATTGTTAACACTCGCCTGAACCACTACAGGAACAGTCGGACACTCAGGTGAGGTCCAATCAAAATCTTTTCGCTCCGAAAGTCAGGTTTTAAACGACCCACCCCTAGAATCTTCCCCGCCAGGATAGAAGCGCGCAAGCGCACTCCGCGGTGGTGGCGATGAAGTACGCAGGCGTGGTAGCCCTGAAGCCGCGAGCTAGCGCGCAGGCGCAGTGTAGGCCGGCGGTTGATGTGACGTGGCAGAAGGTGAGGCGGGCTCTGCGGCCTCGGCGTGGACAGGCCGTGGCTCCTCAAGATGTTGACGTTCAGCGAGTGCTCGCTGCTGCTTGGCCTCCTCAGCTACTTGTGTGGGGCCTCGGCCTACTTCGTCAGCATTGATGCGCACGCTGAGGAGTGCTTTTTCGAGAAGGTAACGTCTGGCACCAAGATGGGGCTGATCTTCGAGGTGGCCGAGGGCGGCTTCCTGGACATCGATGTGGAGGTAAGCGAGCGCACGGCGCTGACTAGGCCTCAGGCTGGGCCGAGAGTTAGAGCGGGGAGAGCAGACCCACTTCACGGCCGAACGGAGATGCCCCGTCTACCCACAGCTTGCGGGCTGGAGGTTGCCTGGGAACCCGAGGCTGGTGCCTGATCCTGTCCCTTCCTCCGCTTCAGGGGCACCCTTGGCCGCATTCATCATTCAATATAGTCCATTGCAATGGTCAGGAAGTCGCTGAGGAGAAGGCCTCGCAGTCTTGGATCTGAGATCAAACCTTTCTCCGGCACTGAGATCAGCGGAGCCACTTGTACAACTGATGTAGTTAAAGTTTTGAAATATAGAAAATATGCAGATTGTATGCATCGCATCAGTGCCTTGGTGAATGTTTCCCAGTTTGTGGTGTAGGAAAGTACCTGGAACATATGGTGTGACGGACTGGATAAATTGGTTTGTCTGTAAAATAATTAGCATATGCTTTCTGTGTCATTTTATTCACTTGTTCTACGACCAAAATGTTAATATGTTGTGGAAGATAGCAGCATTGCGAATTCTTTGATAGTGCATGACAGTCAGTATGACAATAGTTCGTATGTGTGTATGTGCATTTTCGCTGTAAAACAGATAGGATAGATTTATTAACGAAATGCATAAAAGTGAATGGCAATTTGTTTAAAATCTGCATGCTATAGTGGGGGAGGTAGATTTCTTGCCTCGGTCATCTTTCTGTAGGGAAAGGTTAAAGACTGTAAAGTATTCCCTCGAGTTTGTGTCGAAGAGCTTGTGTGTTTGAAGAGGTATATTTTACACGCTGTACTTTCTCTTTTTTTCTTTAGCAGTGTGCTTAGCTTAACACCTCCATTTGAAATAAAATGGGAAATGACTTTAAATGTACACTAATTGGCTGTTAAATCCAAACTTTTAAAAAGCAATTTATGATAATCTGAAGTTTTAGCGAGTAGTTGATACCATATGAACAATTTGACTTCACCCATTTTATTGGCCAGACCTACGTTTTTCTTTTTCTGAGCATGTGTGTATTCTGTCTGTATTTCACTTAGATTATGACCATGAATGTGCCATATTATCAGAATTTTATGTGGAATTATTGTTGGTAGTAGTTTGAAATAACGGTCTAGTGATGAGTTAGCATATTATTGAATTTTAGATTGCCATCTGGTTGCCATTTTTGGTTGAATTAACAAGTTTCCCTTCCTTGGATTAAAAATAGCTATTTTTGTGGAGTTCACTTAGTTCAAATGAGTAGATTCCAGGTGACGTGGTTTTCAGACTTTGTTAGGTTGGCCACACATTTAGCTGAGATCATTCACAAAATAAAGAAATCGACTTGCTGGATAACGTTGAGAAATTTTCTACATTTTCTCTGCCCTACGTACCACATTGTGGATAGTGTCAAAAGTTTGGTCATATACAGTACTTGTATGGCTACAGGAACAGAGATGAGCTGCAGGCCCATCAATAACAATCCATCAGAAAAGAGGTTAGTTTCTGCTGGACCCTAAACTTTGAGCCATTCAGCTGGTCATCCATGTGCTAGTGTTTCTCAAAGCACTGTTCAGTGCCCTTTATTGTCCCTTTCCTCTTAAAAATATTTGGTGGCATGGAGATGGTATGTTATCCACTTCATCTTTTACAGCATTTCAGGATTCTGTTTGCATAATTACTTATGATAGGACAATTCATGCCCTAATACCTGAATTAAAAATGTTTTTAGCTTAAGTGTTTGTACAGTTGTATATTAATACTGGCCCTATAAATACTAAAGTAATGCTATGAATTCTTGATATTTCAATCTCCTAGTTTGTATTTTAATGTACACTACTCAATTGAAATTGTTTCATAGCACTTGCAGTGCATCCGAAATACTGCTGAGGCTTTTTTGTCAATTTGTGAAAAGGACATTAGTTCTGAATGGTTCTTTGGAGTCTTGGCAATCCCTTTCCTCCCTTGAACAGTGAGCAAACTGTATTCACAGATGCTGTAATCAGACTGTGCTTGTGGCTTGAACTAAAATGGGAGCTGCAGTCCATTTACTAACCCAAGGGCTTTTCTAGTTCTTCATCGGTGTATGGAGATTTTAATTGTTGCTAAATATTTAAATAATTTGCCTGATTATTAGGTCTGAGAAATAGTGTTCTGTGTCATCACTTCTCTCAAACTGTATCATTTTCACCTTTTTAACATTATAAACACAGAGTGGACATTCATTGTCTTGTCTGCCTGGAAGCAACCTGTGCTGTTTTCCCATCGATTTTGTTCCTAATGGTTGACGTTCAGGATTAAACCATGTAAATCCAACATTCTGGAACGTCGGCGGTTTTGAGGTTTTATGATGATCTCTGAAAATTTAATGCTACTAAAAAGGAACTTTATAACACCCAGGAAACTTGCCTGGTCAATGCACAGCGATGCAGGGTTTATACATTCTGGCCATGCGTACATTGTTTGCGTAGAGTTCCAGTTTGTACAGCATAGGGTAAAATCCATAAGTTTGTGCCACCAGTAGTCCCACTCCCTTGCTTTTTCCCCACTATTTTATATATATCCGACTTACTTTCAAAAGTTAGTTTTCTATCTGGTTCCACCATTGTTAGGCTGTATATTCCAGATGACGACAACTCAATACCTTTAAAATATAAACCAAACTCCTTCTCACTGGTTACATTGTAAATTTCATAATCTGTCTTTGGATTTTGGATTGTAATTCTGCCCTCCTAACGGTAGTGACAATGCAGTACCCATGCCAAAAGAGAGTGGAATTCACATGATAGTTACATGAGCAGTTTTCATTATAAATATGGAAGTAGGACTTTTAATGTAAGAAGTTAGCAGTGTGTGCAGCTCAAAGACTTTTTTTTAAAATGCCCACCTCTCTCTATAGTAACTTTTTTTTAAGCTAACTTAGGGCTCGTTGCGGGGTTGAGTGGCTCCAAGATTACACTCTTGGCAATAATGCTTCTCTTGCAAACAAAATACCTAAAGGTGGATGCACAAAACTAGAGAGTATCAGTGCTTGGGTAACAAACTTGGCTTACTCACAAAGCCTGAAAAGTTAGATTTGTCACTGCAGTTTGGAAATCATTCTTGTCAATGACAGATGATTCTGTAAAACCAATTTCCAAACTGGTTGATCACGCACAACAGGAGATTTCGGTGTCCCTAGCTGCTAAGCTCTTGCTTTTGTGAGTTAAATTCCCATATCTATCCCTGGATGCAGTTGGAGGTACATAATCCTTTGGCAGTTTGCATGTGGTTCTTCACAAAAAAGGATTTGATGTCTCAGTGACTGTTATAGTGTTAGGGATTTCTTTATGATTAGATTGGCTTTTTCAAATATGCATACACAGCTTCTTACATGGCAGTAATTTCTAGATCATTTTTACAATGCTGTATATATTTGCCATCCCCGAATATGTTTTATAACTGGGAATTGTACTTTTAACCTCTTCCTTGTGCCTGACAAGCTTCTGCAACACCTGATTGCCTAGTGGTAAGGAATGTGGTTATAATCTGCATGGCTCCTGTGAGGTCTTAGCTTTGGTACTGGTGTCTCCTAATTTCAGCCAAGGCATCAGGTGGCCCATACAGCTGGATTCCCACCTGGCAAAATTAACTGATAGCTAAACTTCATGATATAATTTGGTCATTTCTGTCACTCTTTAGATGGCTAGTTGGAATGGTGATATTTTGCATCATGTTTGTGTGAAATTTGTACATCTTTTATTATCAGTTTTTAATATACATTCTCACGTTTTGTGGATGATTTTAAAAAAAAATCTAGCTTCCTCTTGTGTCCATTAAGTGGGAGGTTTATACTTGGCAGAACCTATGTCACATTCAGTGATAAGTCATTTTGTTTTCCACAGATTACAGGACCAGATGGTAAAAATATTTATAAGGGGGACCGGGAATCCAGTGGGAAATACACATTTGCTGCACATATGGATGGAACGTATAAATTCTGTTTCAGCAACAGAATGTCCACTATGACTCCCAAGATTGTGATGTTCACTATCGACATTGGAGAAGCACCAAAAGGGCATGATATGGAGACAGAAGGTGGGATTTTATACTCTCTATACTCTCTGGGAAGGGACTAAGAGATAAGACCATAAGACATAGGAGCAGAAATTAGGCCATTCTGCCCATCGAGTCTACACCCCCATTCAGTCATGGTTGATAAGTTTCTCAACCCCATTCTCCCGCTTTCTCCCCATAACCCTTGATCCCCTTGACAATCAAGAACTTAGTTATCTCTGTCTTAAATGTACTCAATGACCTGGCCTCCACAGGCTTCTGTGGCAATGAATTCCATAGATTCATCACTCTCTGGCTGAAGAAGTTTCTCCTTATCTCCGTTCTAAAGAGCCTTCCCTTTACTCTAATGCTGTGCCCTTGGGTCCTAGTCTCTCCTGCCAATGGAAACATCTTCCCAACGTCTACTCTGTCCAGGCTATTCAGTATTCTCTAAGTTTCAATTTGGCCCCCCACCTCATCCTTCTAAACTCCATTGAGTATAGATTCAGAGTCCTTAAATCTTCCTCATATGTTAAACCTTTCATTCCAGGGATCATTCTTGTCAACTTCCTCTGGACCCTCTCCAGGGCCACTGCATTCTTCCTGAGGTATGGGGCCCAAAATTGCTCTCAATACTCTAAATGTGGTCCCCCAGAAGTACATTCCTGCTTTTATATTCTAGTCCTCTCGAAGTAAGTGCTAACATTGTATTCGCATTCCTAACTACCAACTCAACTTGCAAGTTTACCTTAAGACAGTCCTGGATTAGGACTATCAAGTCCCTTTTGCATTTCAGATTTCTGGATTTTCTCCCCATTTAGAAAATAGTCTATGCCTCTATTCTTCCCACCAAAGTGCATGACTTCACACTTTGCCATGTTGTATTCCATCTGCTACTTCTTTGCCCAATCTCCTATCCTGTCTAAATCCTTCTGCAGCTTCCCTGCCGCCTCCATACTACCTGACCCTCCACCTGTCTTTGCATCACCTGCCAACTTAGCCAGAATGCCCTCAGTTCCTTCATCTAGATCGTTGATGTTTAAAGTGAAAAGTTGTGCTCCCAACACTGATCCTTGCGGAACACCACTAGCCACTGACTACCATCCTGAGAAGGACACTTTTATCCCCAATCTCTGCTTTCTGCCAGACAGCCAATCTTCTATCCATGATAGTACCTTGTCTCTAACGCCATGGGCACTTATCTTATTCTGTAGCTTCCTGTGTGGTACCTTGTCAAAGGTCTTCTGGAAGTCCAGATAGATAACATCCATTGGCTGTCCTTGGTCTAACCTGTTCGTTGCCTCCTCAAAAAATTCTAACAGATTTGTCAGGCTTATATACCTCACATCAGGGGTGGGCTTTGTTGGTTATTTCCTTTTTGCTACTGGAGCTGTTGACAATGGAGCAAAACTCAGTGGAATGTTTCCACCATATTTGGAGTTTTATACAAGGTTTGGGATTAACCTTTTTATCTAAATTTTTCAGCACTTGCATGTTCTCATGTAGCAGGGAGAATGAGATAGAAAAGTGCTCAGCCTGTCTAAGCTCTTCCCCGCTGTCACGAATCTTGAGCCACAAATTCTCTCCTTCATACGGAGTTAGTTTTCTTGATTTTTTTTTTGACTTGCTTCATCATATACTATATGCTCCTACTGCTTGTTAACAACACATAGATCTTTAGTTATGGATTTCACTTTTAAAAATGAGCATCAATTTGAACCTTTGATTATTGTTTCATTTTCTGTGTAACCAGTTTCTCATTTCTGTCTGACTTTCACTGCTACTGCAAAAGCAATGAAAGCAAAGCTTCTATGAATTATGAAAGACTTAAAATTAATTCACTAAGTTATCGCCCCAAAACATGTGCCGGGCCTCCTCCCTAAACCACTGCAAAGAACTGTTCAGGATGGTGACTAGCTTGCTAAGCAAGTGCTGATAGTGTTTGAATCAGTTGCATTCATGTTGGGATTAGAGTTGCATATAGGGCTAAACTGAATAAGGGTTCATTGACTCTAAAGAACGTCAGTAAATGGGTTTAGTTTTTACAGGAGCCAGTGGTTTTATGGTGCCTTCTACTCATGCCAGTATTCGGTTTCCAGGTTGTTTTAACGAAAATGTACCAAAGGTGTCAGTTCCTGATATTCTATAGGAATTCCTTCCTTGAAGTTGTGTTCCTGAGAAATGAAACTTCAAATGCAATAACATAAAGTGAACCAGCGTTTTCCAATACAACCAATGTAAAAGCTTTAATCAGGTTCTGTAGAAACGTAATACAAACTGAAAGAACTGTGGATGCTGTAAATAAGGAACAAAAACAGAAGTTGCTGGAAAAGCTCAGCAGGTCTGGCAACATCTGTGAAGAAAAAAATCAGATTTAATGTTTCGGGTGCGGTGACCCTTCCTCAGAACTGATTTAAATCTGATTTTTTTCTTCACAGATGCTGCCAGACCTGCTGAGATTTTCTGGCAACTTCTGTTTTTGTTCTGTAGAGGCATGCCCATCCAAGAAGAAAATGTAAAAATTTATACCTTGTAAACTTTAATTTTCTATAATGCTAAATAACTTCTAAATAAAACAACTTAAAATATAATAGAATATATTGACACTCCCTTTATTTCATTTTCATAAAGACATGTAGGCATCTCTGACTGGGCCAGCATCTGTTGCCTCTCCTTAGTTCCCCATAGGACAGTAGTCGTGAGCTGCCTCCTACTCTGATTGTGATTTCTAACTGTCCCACTGATTGTCAACCCTCCATTTTCCTGCTTTCCTCTTCCAAACCCTAGCGGTAAGTGAGGGTTCAGGAGGTAAATGGCAAGAGGCCAGAAACTACCTATGGAGAGACAGCAGCCTCAAGTTGCAGTGTCCTGAAGATAAGCCACAAACTGGAATAGGGGTCAGCTCGATGCCATTCCAAAATGGCACTGATTGGGTCATGCGATTCAAAGTCAAACCTGACATAAAATGACACATAGCTTTAACGCACTTTTATTAAAGTATTCTGTGTATACCAAACCCATTTAAATCACACAACATTAATATCAGACAAACAAACACTAACAATATACCTGAAAACACAAACAGAAATTTCTGGAAAAGCTCAGCAGGTCTGGTAGCATCTGTGGAGAGAAATCAGCATTAACGTTTCAGATTGAGTGACCCTTCCTCGGAACAGATCTCAAATATATTCCTCAGAATATATCTGAAGATCTTATTGACAAGATGGAGGATTACAGTATTGTACAGTGTGATATTTGTTCAGTACAATGAATCAGGTACAAACACAATAGGGATAACGTTTTAAAATAGCTGTATGAAATTCTGCAGCTATATTCCCATGTATTTTTCTGGTCTATTTCTTACTATATGACACTTCCTGACCCAAATAATTAATACTTGACAATGCCACTGGCAAAGGAGAAATAGAATTAACTGATTAAATGCATCTGTTCTTTGACAAAATTCCTCATTCTAAGGTTTCCCTTGTGTGGTTTTGGACTGTGAACACAAACTTCCAATTGCATGCAAAAGTCTTTGATTTCATTTGAGAAATCTTTTATCGTGGTTATCACCTTTGCTTCTTTTGTTTGTCATCTTAACAAATATCCTGTTTCTTTATAATTTGAAGCTGTATATTACAGCGTTCTATTCTACATAATTATTTGTGATTAGATTGAGCTTTTATTGTGCACGAGAAGTATGCAAGTGGTTCTGGGACTCTGAAATGTGGGTCTTGATCAGCCAGCTGATCTAAATCTGAGAGGTATTTTAGGCAATGGGATATGCTATTGGTCCTAGGGCCACTGGTCAGTCTTGTAGCGACACAAGGTGACCCACACTTCCAGATCCCCAGAGGCACAAGTGCAATATAAAAGCACCTTGTTTTTCACGTTGTCCCCTTTTTACTTAAGTGTTCCTTACCTTGAACTTTTATTTATCCCATGTCCTTCTGTTTACCCTTTCCTTCAGGTGGTGGGGATACATGGGATGGTACGTCAACCAGTAAACAATTTTAATGTCTCTTTCTGCTCTCTTCATTTTTGTTTTGTAATTTCCTTAAACTCCTGATGAATGCAAAACTAGGCGTTTGGAACTTCTTTGTATTTGTGAATGAATTTTCCTCACCATTGTAGGAATCATGGTGTCAGTGTTTCCAATGATGTCTAATGGCTGTTTGTGCTAACAGTACTAACCCAGATGTATAGGCAGAGTATGAAAATGGGGAGTTGCTGCTGACATTTTGGAAGTGTTTACAGTGAAACTACACGGCAACCAGCTATATAATCTTACTCACCTTGTTATTCCTAAACCATTAGATGGCATGACAGTCAATCTTTGGTCCACTTTGTGTTTTTTAATTGTGGCCATTTGGGGACATTAATTTTTGTACTGGGAAGTGATACAGTAATCACTAATCTTATCACTCAGATTAGCAGATATTCTTTCACCATGCATTGATTTTGCTGTCTCATTAAAATCAAAATATGCAACTCATTTATAAATAACAGCGGGCTGGAGCATGTCACAATTATGCTAATCAGATACCACGGTGTAGCGCAGCTCTGTTTTTTGAGCTATTTTGTATTTTACAACAGATTTGAAACTTACTTGCTATTTGAAAGTATGTGATATTCTACCTTCCAAAATTGTCCCTTTAACTTTGTTCACTTTACAAAATTTTTGAAGACTAATGTGCAGTTTGTCTTGCTGGCCATTTTTGAGGAAGCATTTGCAAGTTTTAGAGCTTCAGAAAATTGGCTGTTTGCTACAAGGAATGGCTTTAACGGATTGAACAAATTGATGCATGTTTGAGGAGGTTGCATGCTGATTTTGTTATTTGTTTCATAAAGCTCACCAGAACAAGTTAGAAGAGATGATCAATGAACTGGCTGTGGCCATGACAGCAGTGAAGCATGAGCAAGAGTACATGGAAGTACGTGAGAGGATACACAGAGCAAGTATGTACATCTCCTTGCCTTTGAGCCATATTTAGCACTCTTTCACTTTCATTCCTAGGGCTGTGACATCTCCCAGAGTCCTCTGGCATGAGGCCCTGAATGGCCGGTCTATTCATATGGGGCAGTGCAGCCAAATCCAGTTCTATCTATTAGATGTGTCACGAGTTAACCATCACAGTGGGAACACAAGCCCTTCTCCTGCATGTTCAGACCAATTTCTGCTTCCTTTTGAGATCAATTCGTGGTACAGCTTGAGAATCAAAACACAGAATTGTTGGCCTGGATGGCTAAGCATCTCACTGCCCTCCACGTCTTTAATGTCTTACCACATACTTGACTCGTGCTTGCACAGTTTACACCCTAGGTTTGTTTGTTCGTTTTTAGGATGTGGACAGTACTGGCAAGGCCTATTCCCACTTGCCAGAGGTGATTAAAAATCACAAGCCACAATCGCGACACTTAATAAATGCAATTTCATCATTTTAAACCTCTGGGTTACTACATTGCTGTAACCACTAGACTATTGTGTCATTCCAGTATTCAGAGATGACTTCTATTTGGAAGGAACAGCGCAAAGCCAGTCCTTGCATCCATCTTAAAAACTTATGAAGTGGCAGTCATCTTTTAAAAAAAAAAAAAAAAGATTTAAGTTCTATTTATAGGCAAGTGTGACACAAAAGAACCACATAGACAAATTTTAGTTAGAAGAAATGAAGGATGACAAGAATTTATGAATCAGAAATGAACAAATTGGTGCAAACCCTGATTGCAAAACCAAATTATAAGCGATGCCAACCTGAATATTATTTTTTGTATGATTTTTATGGTAACGTTATTAATCGTGACTGGATTGGTCCTGTTTAATCTTATCATATTTTCTTTGCAGTCAATGACAACACAAACAGTAGAGTGGTCCTCTGGTCTTTCTTTGAAGCTCTGGTATTAGTTGCCATGACTCTTGGACAGATCTACTACCTGAAGAGGTTTTTCGAAGTCCGAAGGGTTGTGTAGCGGCCTCTCGTAGAAGTTCAGCATCGGAGCCACAATCTGAAAAGGATCTGGTCACAACAGCTTTTAATACTTTGTCACTTGACTGAAAACCTTTCACGCACTGTGTTATTGGTCTTCATTTACTGCTGTTTATATAAAGTCCTTTGTAGTACAATATTGGGAGTCCGTGGGTATAAAAGAATAATTTGCAGAGGCCTCAAGTTGCAATGTAGGGGATTTTTAATGCTCCAAATCAGCTCAATTCAACTTTACAAAGAGATTTGACTAATGTGCAAGCCCACCTAATGTTTTTAAAGCATTTCTGTAACAGTGTGTAAGCAGTTTAATTTGTTTGCAGTGCTGTATATAGATTGCCCAGCTTTTTGGAACATTAGTAGTTCCCTACAGTTTGTATTTTTTTTTTCCCCAAAGTGGCTGTGCACTTCTGTGGAGGATTTCTGAAAATTTGCAATTAGTTTAGTACGTAAGTTATAGACTTACTGTAACTGTCCAGCCATTTTCATGTTGTCACACCTGATTTTCTTTTTCCTTCCAATATCTGTTTTCACCACTGGAACCAAATCATCCTCTGGGTTTTTGGTGATTTGTTATGGGTGCGGATGTTTTTATAAAAATCCGTATGAATATGCTTTTTATTTGCTTTGCTGTAATTAATTGGTAACATTGATGATGGGCTTAAACTGCAAACAAAAAGGAAAAGCATTAGGTGTGTGGGTTGCTGATTAAGATGTGACCAGTGTGAATAAGTTGCTTATACTTGGTCTTTTGAAAATCTTTCACACGACAATTTTGTACAATTTATTTAGTTATGGTTTACCTTCATGTTCAGGGGTAAACTTGTATTACTTTAGGCAGCAAACCAGCAGAAAAAGGTCCACAATCCCACAACTTCATACTATCAAAGGTTCTTTTTTTTTCGTGAATAAAGAGAATGTTTCTTGATTCTGAAAATGTAGCAGTTTAAAGTACTCCTGAATGTCTTGGGCTATCCAGTGGCCTGATTGCACTGGTTTGTTAACTCCTTGCCAATGCTCAGTAACCTTTCTTGCAGAATAAGTATTTAATTTTTGGCTGTGATATGAGCAGTATTTTGTTCCCAACTTCATCTCTTGTTCCTAGGTTTCAGAATATTAGTGAAATTATTGCTAGGAGTCTTCCCCATTAACTGAAACTTTTTATTGTAAAAGCCCAGACATTAAAACTCCTAGGAAGAGTGAAGGTATTTTGGGGAATGGTTGGTGAGATTTTCACTTAAAAACAAAAGTCCTGACTGACTTTATACCCCAAACAATGCTGCATTTATAGTGAGATTTTGCAAAATTTGAACAGTGGAAAATTAATATTTAATTTGCCAGATAAAACCAGATTCTTGGTTTTGAGAAGGTTGCAGGTTTTCTGTGGCTGGTAATGTATAATTAAATGCTGTCTGTTATTTTGAACCAGGGAGTATCTGCATTGATTTGGAATTTGACTTATGGACATTGGCTGGAAAGACTTTTGATGGATTAAAAACTTGTGGTGATTGTGGGACTTTGAAAAAGAACAGGTTTATAAACCGTCACCTGATTTTAAAAAAAAAGCTGTCTGCCAACACTTTTTGAAATCTTTATGTAACATCACACCTTAAATGGATCAGGTGTGATATGATGTAATTAAAGTCTAAGGTGTATCTCTAATAAAATGACCCCAAGCCAATGATAATTAATGTAACTTTCTCACATTCTCTTCAAAAGATTTACAAGGTGTGGAGGAGCGGTGGTCTTTGTGTTTGCATTCTGTCCTTTGTAAACATCTTGCTGCCTGTATGTGTACAGGTAAACTTCATTACAGAAAACAAAAATTCCATTTGATTTTTTTAATTCAAAGGGAAGCAGTATGTACATAATCTTGCCAAATCGTGAGAGCATTGTTTATTTGATCATTTGAGGTGTGTGTTGTAATGTGTTGCTTTGTTGGTAGTAATTTGAACCATATGATTGAATAGCCTCAAACTGGTGTTTCATTCAAAGCCAAGAGCCAGCTAACTCTGTAAAACCAACAGAATTTTACCTCAGCTGCTGCACTCCTCGCACCTCCTCTTCTTTTCTCTCACTCTTTCTCCTCCCCAACTCTTACCCCCCCCCCCCCCCCCCCCCCCAAACAAAAGGAAACTCCATCCCACCCTGCCCAATAAGGGTTCAGCTTTATGAATGATCCTGAGTCAGTATTACCATGGTTGCTGAACGTCTGTAATTTGCCAGTGGTGAGTATTATTGCTGTAGTGATCTGGTGCAGCAGGAATCACTAAAGACACTCAATTATTGTTTTGTTTTTGTGCTGCAAATGCAGTTTTACTGTCTTGAATAAAGTTGGCCAAATTTTTTCTAATAAAAAGAGAGGGAACTTGCAAAAACTGAGAATCTGAAACAAGTGTTCTGGAAATACAATAAGGGCAAAGTTGATGTTAGGGATTTGTACAATCCTAATGAAGAGCAAAGCAAAATGGTCACCGTCTCTATACGTATGGTAGGATTAGTGCTGCAAATGAGCAGGTTTGTGTAATCTGGTTAATACCATAAATTTGTCTATTTAATACTGTTTTTTTCCCAACTATCCTTGTACAGTCTCCTGCATAAAGATATCTGGTCTTCCATGTTTGAAGGTTGTGGTACAGCGACAGATATCTAGCATGTGGTAACCACTCAGATGAATTCAATTCCAATCTTATTTGTATTATTTTCCATAAGTGTACTTTCAAATGAAAAAATATATTCATTAAAATAATTTAAGTAAATCAGGACAATCCTGTTGAATTTCCTAGGCCAAGATATGGGGGATGGGAGGTGTTCAAATTGCATGTGGTTGTGGATTTTGTTGTCCTTTATCACCCAAAAATTTGTAATATTTTGCTGACTTATCTATTCCACTGATATTTTCCTTATTCTCATAAGTCCACCCTCCAGATGCTTTGATTGAACCCAATAGATCTGCGCAAAAATACTTTGCTTATTCAGTACTTTAATATTAATTGTGAAAGTTGACTCCTTTTTCAGTGACCTTGCAGGAAGCATTAACTTTAATATTGGAAGGATTCTCTGGTGGGTGATGTGGTACAAGCCATACAATGCAAAATCTATTTGAACCTTGATCTGTGTTTAATTCGCTGATATTTGGACAGTAATGGGACCATACGAGAATCCTCAGTCCTGGTGAGATAAACCAGAGTTCCTACCTCCTGACCATGTCGGATTGTGAATTTGAGTGAGGTCAGAATTGTGCTTGGGTCATTCCTCCAGGCCTAAAATCTACTGTAGCTCACCTTTTGTAACTAATCACTGTAACAAGATATTATTGGATGTATCTTAGCTTGAAGCTACTAATTTCACGAATGATGGGGAGACTGGAAATGGAAACCAATACCAACACTTTTAGAACCTGATCTCCCTTACTTTCCCTGTGAGGCCTCATGGTTATTGGTTACTGCACCTTGTTTCCCTCCGGCCTGTTGAGTTCAACTGTACATCATTCTGCAGTGCCACTGTTCAGGCCACATGTTGTTTCTCAGCATGTCTTGAAATAACAGCCAATCATTGACAAGAGATGCCTCTTGAAAGAAAGAACTTCCATTACACAACAGCCCAGGGCATCCCACAACACTTTACAACCAATGAAGTACTTTTGACATCAATACACTATTGAAACACTGGAAACACAGCAGCCAAATTGAACACATGACATCAATGTGATAATAGTCAGATAATCCATTTAATAATGTTAGTTGAGGGATAAATGTTGGTTCCAGGACATCAGGGAAAACTCTCCTACCTTGAAATTACTTGCATAATTGGATTTGTGGTATTGCAAGCAGACATTTTCTTGATTGAGCCAAGACAATTTACTTCAGAATTTGACACTAACAGCTCCTGCTGTTTGGTCTTGTAACTTGAAACTTTGCCATGTAACTATCCTTTCACCTGCTTTAGTGCAGCTTCCCTCCACATGCTCACTAGTGGAGAATGTGACCAGTGGGAGTTAATTTCTGTAATTTTAAGATAAAATCTTGTAATAAAGTCACACATTGCGGTTTACAAGATTGGATGCATTCAGTTGACTTATCAATGTGTCTTGGTTTGTTTAATTCAAAATTCTGATTCCATTACCAAAATGGAATGTTGTTTTTTTAAACTGATCAGGTTTTGTATAGTGTGGTTTGGGAGCTGAAATGAAGCAGACCTGGACTAGCTGCTCTTTTTAATAAAACGTTGAAATGTCAAATAAAGAAAATATCTGGACAACTTAATTTACTTTTTGTAATCGATCTTTTACATCTGATCTCTGGCCAACTTGTCCATTCTGCTCCACTATTTCATATCTTCAATCCTTCCTTCCTCTGTCCAGTATTTATCAGGATGGGATGTTGTAGCAATTTTTGCTCATGGAGTTCTGAAATTGATAGTGGGCATGAACCCTACACTCGGTCATTACCAGATGTTTACTGGAGGCTGTAGATATAATAGTGAGTTGTGTGCGTAAGTACATATTTTATTGATCAACAGAATATATGTAACTGGCAAGGCCAGTATCTATTGTCTATCCCTTGTAGTTGGTGATAAGTTGCCACTTCAGGCTGTAACAGTCTGCAGAATATGCCCTCAGTGATTGTTAAGGAGAAGTTTCAGGATTTTGACACACTAATAATGAAGCCAGAATGATGTGTAACATGGTGTTCCTATCTACATGCTGTCCTTATTGGTAAAAGCATTGTGGATCATATGCACTGCAGCTGTGATGTCCTATGGTGGGTGTTGGAGCTGCACCCATTCAGGCAAGTGAAGAGTATTCTGTCACACTCCTGATTTGTGCTTGGTTGGTGTTGGATAGGCTTTGGTCAGTCACCACCTAAAGAATCCTCAGCTTCTGACCTGCTCTTGTAGCCGTGGTTTTTATTTGGCTAGTCAAGTATCTGGTCAGATTTGACCCCTAGAACATTAATAAAATATTTGACAATGTTACTGCATTGAATACAGACAGGAGAGAGTTTGGAAATGGTCATTACCTGACACTTGTGTGGCCTGAATGATACTCACCACTTGGCCAAATCCTAAATGTCTTGGTGCATGTGGGCATGGAAGGAGTTGTGAAAGGTTCCAAGCACTGATCTTCAGCAAATATCCCCATTTGTGGCCTTCTGGTGCAGGAAAGGCTATTAATGAAGTAGCCAAAGATGATTGAACCAAGGAATCATCCGTAAGGAGCTCCATCAGTAATAAGGCTGAGATCGTTTACATGCAATAACCACAACTATCCAGTGGCAAGCTTTCCCCTGATTCCCACGAATGACCTATCAGGACACCTTTATGCCACACTCGGTCAAATGCCTCCTTACTGCCAAAGGCAGTCACTTTCACTTAATTTCTTGAATTTGTCTCTTCAGTCCATGTTTGAATCAAGCCTGTAAGATCTAGAGCTGTGCTCTTGTTGGAACCCAGATGGAGCATCAATGAGGAGGAGGTTGGTGAGGCGATGCTGTTTGCTAGCACTTATGATCGTTTCCATCATTTTACCGATTGAATTGACAGATATCAGATGGAACAGAAATTGGCCGGATTGGAATTGTCATTTCTGTCTATATGACAACCATAATTTTCCACTTTGTACAAATGCTGCTGTCGTAGTTGTTCCAGAACTACTATGACTATTGGCTAGTTCTGGAGTTAGAGCACATGGTATATTTTTAGGTGTTTCTTGATATTGCTACAGTGCTTCAACCTTTTGTACAAGTGATAGTTCTGCCATCACTGAGCATAGTCAGAAGTCACATGACACCAGGTTATAGTCCCAACTGGATTATTTAAAATCATAAACTTTTGAAGCTCTGCTTCTACGTCAGCTGAAGTCTTTACTGACAAAGGAGCAGCGGTCTGAAAGCTTGCGAGTTTAAATAAACTCATTGGACTATCACCTGGCCCCATGTGATTTGTGACTTTTGTCAACCCAATCCAACACTGGCATTTCCACATCATGATTACCGAGTATGGGAAGGTCTGTGAAGCCACCTCCTCTCATTATTTATTTAATTACTCATCAGCAAGTACAGCCTCATGGGTTGACAGGGTAGAGCTTTGCACTGATCTGTTGGTCATGGTGCTCGGTTCTGTTTATAACATTCTGCTTAGCACATGTTAGTTTCACTAGCTTGTCACTTCTTGAGTACACCTGGTGCTGCTCTTGATGTGTTCAATAAGAAGTGCAAGAGAATCAATTTATGGTTCTTAACTTTTCATTTGTGCAGTTTCCAGCAGCTACATCTGTTCCAACTTCCATGGTGGTAACGCTACTCCATATAATGGATGGTACTCTCAGCATGAAGATGGCTCTTGAATCTCTCCAGGGACTGTGCAGTGATTGGATGCATTTGTGAGTCAGATTTGTAAGGATGAAGTTAGGTTTCCTGTTCCCTTGTAATTTTTTTGAACTTCCTACCAAAGTCTGAACATGGCAGTATACAGCTTCTCTATGTCTGGGCCAGATAGGCTTGGGTTCAAGTTTCATCTGTGCACGATGTGACGTATGTCTGAACAGGTTCATTGAAAAATATTTACAATCTTCTGGCTGTAAATGTCGACTGCCTTTGTGGTGCTGCAGAGGGGAACAGGACCTTCCCAAAGCTGCTAATGTAGCATCTGGATATTTGCAGATAAATACAGGGGTGAGGGGAAATAAGCTATGTCTTATCACTAGAAGATTCATAGGTTAGGTCATACAGAGAAACAAGGAGCGTGAATGGGCCGTTCACCCCTTAGAGCTGTTCTGCCATTCACTATGATCATACAACTCAATACCCTCTTTCTGCTTTCTCCACATACCGTTTGATCCTTGTAGTACTAAGACCTATGGCTCCAGCTCTGCTGAGGAGTCATTTAGACGCAAAACGTTAGCTTGCTCTCTCTCCATAGGTGTTGCCTAACCCCCTGTGATCGCCATCATTTGTAGTTTTCAATATATCTCGACCCTTCTCGAAAACAAAAAAAAAACACATTTGTCAACCAGAATCTATTAATTCCCGTTCCCTGCGACTGTTAGATATTTGAATTAAAAAGTAGGTGAATCAATGAATTGAGGCTTAATGGAACCAACGATCCCTCAAGTCCAGGGACCATAGAGGCCCCCTGGAAAGTACCATGGAACCAAAGTGCACTCTGGAGGACGGGCGGCTGGTGACGGGCCGGAACCACGGTGAGTGCCGGGGG